AAGGTGACTCTTATGATCCAGCTGGACCCTTTGGCCACTTTGCCACGTACAGCGTCGAGACGAGAGATCGGGTCCGTTGTATCAGTGCCGAAAGCGGTAAGTATGCATTACAGTGTTCACGGTTGGGGGGCATGTGGAGGACTTCTGGTGCAGTACTAGAATACCGTAGTCCGAATGGGGTCACCGGGTTTGGTTTGCTTGCCGAAAGAGTGATCGTTGTTTATTGCCAAACTGGAACTGGTTAATTTTCAGCTTGGTCTAGTCTGAGACACTCGAAATTCAGGAGTTCCTATGTCTACTCAATGGAATGCGACGCCGTATTACTATCCGATCCAGATTGCGCAGTATGGTTTGCAGCATTACAGCAGGATGTTAGGTCAGAGTAGCATTCAGGTTTTTTTTTCAAATCGGTTTGGTCAGAGCTGCGCTGCATACTGCATTCTATAGGGATTAGGCCACTTTGTTGGATGATAGAAAGTGTCGATACCAGTACGACCTTACTCCAAAATGAAAGGCGGGGTCACGATTAATTTCCACTACGTAAATCAAGAGAATCCCAAATGTTTCAAGCCCTTTACCTCCATCACCGAAAGTTCCGTCGACCGGGAGGGGTGACTGTAAAAACGGCCATTCAAAACCAAAATTTTCAGCTTGAAACTTTCCACGCCTACCCTAGTGCCACGGAAGCCATTCCCAGTGCATAAATCTGCGGAACTGGAAGAAAAGCTTTGTTTATGAAGTGATTCGAATTCTGTTCTCCCTGTTCCGCGGAAATGGACGAACAGAATAGGAATCACCTTATATACAGCCTATTCTGCTCGTTCCACCTTTCTCTCAATTCGACAGTTTCTCTACGTATGAACGTAGCCTAGTGGTGGCCCCCTTGTTCCTGAGGTAAATGAAAAACTCTCTGTCTCTCTCCGTCCGTCTCTCTCTCTCTCCCTCTCATCTCAGTCTCTCCTCTCTCTGCGGTGTCTCATGGACGCTCTTTCGCCTCTCTCTCTCTCTCATCAGCTCATGGGGAGTCATCTGTCTCAGGTAGTCTGCACGCATTTGCCGGATTATGACTGCCGTGCAACGTGTGCATAACCGTTAGCCCACGAATATTATGAGCTCCGCTTTATCTCTATTTTATAACTCCCGTCCGTGGTCATGAAAAACCGGATAACGTCCCAGCGAAGAAAACAGGGATGGATGCCATACTTTGCTTCGGTGATGTTTAATCTCATTAACCTTTTTTTAGTCAACAAAACGGATCAGGATTTGATCGAAAAAGGCTTGGAAAGTGCGGAGTGGAAGGGATCGCCGGACTCACAAGATTCGAGCGAGCGCGTTTTCTACCATGATGATGAAAAGGGTCCCTTGGTCAACATCACAACCTCTGGTAAGTTTATTTCGACTTGATTTCTTATAATTTCTTTTTGTAATTGAGTTTCGATGGTGTTGGGCATTGTATGCCGTGCTTGAGCCAGTACCACTTTTTATTACTTCTTTGCCATCTTTTTTTCAATTTTGGAAGAAGCTGGAATAATGGGCTTGATGAGGCTCGACTGATCCTGAACCCAACTTCTGCTATCAAGGTCTTCCAAGTGTGGACTAAGCTGGAGTTTTATTCTGCTGATGTCCTGACAGCCATCAGGAGAATTGTTTTACTGTTGAAGTCCTATAATTCTGCGGATGGCTGAGCTCCTATAATGACTTTTGCGCCACTTACGTGGGCGTGGCAAACAACGTCATAAAACTAATCACAGCAGGGACAGTACTACTTCCTTGTAGCAACGAAGTGGGTGGTATTAGTCACAGTGGAATGCAGTAGCATTTTTGATGCACTGCGTACTTGAACGCTCATTTCATCTTGCTGACTATATATCCGGGAAAACTTTGTGCACTTTGAAGAAACACTCCACGATTGTCCTCACGCGGGAATTCTTCCCTATACGAAGTCTGACGAGCAATCGCGGAGGCTGTGTCACTTCCACGGCCCGAAAGGAGCGTCACGGCTGCTCGCCGCGATAGTCACGCCCCGCCCACAGGGTTCCGGCTCAGCCCTTACCAGTTTTTGACTATTTCTCTTTACTATCACAGTATGACGATGCGGTGACTTGTACCTAGACGCTTTCTTGCAGTCTCATCTTACGTTTCGTTTCGCCTTTGCGCGCTCAGCATCTCTCATTGTTTGCTTATGCGATCCTTAATACCAGCGGGGGTCTTACAGGGTCTTATTTAGGACATTTTGGCATTTTTTGCTTTCTTATTTACTGGTAACCCAACCTCTCTAGTTTTTGAACCCCATCACTCATGATTTGCAAGTGGTCTTCAGTATAACTACAATTTTCGACTTCAGCTCGGTCGCGCTCTTACTTATTTTCAGTGGGAAAGTGAAAAAATATGGAAAATCCAACCCGAGAAGAAGGTCGCTGTTTCAGGAGAGCTATCGAATGCTGGTTGTTACGTGTTCTTGGACCAATCGCCCCTGCACTACGTCATTTCATTCGAATGGTTATCTATTCAAAATGCATCCTTTACCGTCCTTGTGCGAATTATTGAAACCGACATGCTGGTGCTGCTCAACTATGTTGCTCAGCATGATTCACGCTGCGTTTGGAATGATTCGGTGTCATTCGCAGGTAGTGAACAGGTTCGTTTATAGCTGAAGTATAAATATTCATTTCACTTTTTTCTTTATCTTTAGCTGTATATTCCATAATTAGGTGTCATTCTCGTTCTCACTCGGTAAACCGCGAAAAGACTGGCAGTCCACTACTAGAGATATCTTGGTGGATACTTCGCGGGCGCTATCAAGTATGAATACAAGTAAAAAGAGGGACGGAAATGTGATACTCCATCCAGGTATTTGAAACTCTAGGAATTTATTTTCCATTACTAAATTCGTTGTTCAGATGAAAAGCTATGCACTTTCCAGGAGATATTAAGTTAGTGTCAGTCGGCTTTCGAGGTGCTGTAATTGTCAAGCAGAGAATTGTACAATCTCGGAATGCTCATTTCAAATTCTTCTTAACGGCGGCCGATTGGTTAGCTTCAAATCAAGATGATGAGGTTATTTTTCGTTTTTTTTCAAACAACAACTGTAGTATTAGAGTAGAAGAAATAGAAATGAGTTTAAAGAAACGATTATAAAGCACCGATGGATCGTTTCCTCCCTAATTGTAAGCTGATTCTAGGCCTAGCAATTTTAC